ACAGGAGACCTGTAATTTGCTTTTTTCAGAGCCGCCAAAGGTGTGTTTCTCAGCTGAGGCCACTCACACTCTCTCTCTCCCCCAGCCTCCAAGGTCCCAATCGGTCACCTGCCCACATTCCAGCTGGCTGCCTGACACGTTGTCATGAATCTAGGTCAAGTGGGTGGCTCTGCAAGTGTGAGGAAGACCATCAGGACCCAAGAGAGACCCAGGGCCTGGTGGATGCACAGCTGTCTGGGGCTGAGGAGGAGGAGGCCATATCCCCCTCATCCTCCCCCTCTGTCCCCTTCCTGGGCACCCTGGAGGAGGTGGCTGTGGCTGCAGCCCTGAGTCCTCCCCAGGGCCCTAAGAGTGCCCGGCCCTCCAGCTCTGCCATGGCAGCCACTCCTTGGAACCAGTCCGGAGGCGATGGCTACAGCAGCCAAGATGAGGAAGGGCCAAGCACCTGGGAGGACCCGGGAGATGCCGACTCCTCGCTCCAAGATACACTAAGTCTGAAATTCACTGACCTGGTAGGGTTCCTGCTGCTCAAGTATCGCACAAAGGAGCCCACCACAAAGGCGGAGACGCTGAATACGGTCCTCAGAGATTACCAGGACCACTTCCCTGTGATCTTCAGACAAGCCTCTGAGCACATGCAGCTTGTCTTTGGCATTGACGTGAAGGAAGTGGACCCCAGTGACCACGCCTATGTCCTGGTCACCACCCTGGGCCTCACCTACGATGGGATGCTGAGTGGTGAGCAGAGCATGCCCAAGACTGGCCTCCTGGTGATGCTCCTGGGTGTGATCCACCTGCAGGGTGACTGTGCCCCCGAGGAGGACGTCTGGGAAGCACTGAGTGTCATGGGGGTGCGTGCTGGGAGGGAGCACTTCATCTATGGGGAGCCCAGGGAGCTTATCACTAAAGTTTGGGTGCGGGAGCAGTACGTGGAGTACCGGCAGGTGCCCAGCAGCGATCCTGCACCCTACGAGTCCCTGTGGGGTCCCAGGGCCCACGCTGAAACCAGCAAGATGAAAGTCCTGGAGTATTTGCTCAGGGTCAGTAGCAGGGATCCCAATCCCTTCCTCCACCTGTGTGAAGAGGCTGTGAGTGATGAGGAAGGGGCACCTGAGCCCGAGGGCGGCCAGGCACGGGGCAGGCCCATGCCCAGCACCTTCTCTCAGGAAGGCCCTGTGTCAGTAATGGGGACACAAGGATAAGCAGGAAACCCCCCACCCATAGAATGAGAGTCTGGGAGCCACAGTACCAGAAGAAAGGTGGTGAGGTGTCCCCTCCAGGACGAGTCAAAGAAGGTGGGAGGTGGTGCGGCCCCAGGGGAGCGCGCTCACGTGTAAAGCCCCCGAGCCAGGGCAGTGTGGGTCTTCGGGAAACTGCGATTCCTTCTGTGGGAGTTGGTTGTCATGAAGCTCGGTGGTGGCAATGGCCAGACTCACAGTGTGTCTTAGGGCTGAGGGGCAAGTCTGAAATGGAAAATTGCTCTGAAGAGTTTCTTAGGGATCTCAGGTAACCAGACAGAAATCTCCACCTGGGCAGGAAGGGAAGGTGTTCTGGGCTCTTGTCGCATTGCAGTTGAACACAGTGAACAACGAGGAGTTTGACATCCATTATCTGTAAGGATTTCACAAGAAATACGGTCACATTCCTTTGAAGTGTTTCCCAGAAGTCAGTGGCCTGGCACTCCTCTCCCAGGCCTGGGAGAGCCAGAGCCCACAGCATAAATTAGGTGTTAATCTTAATTGAGTTTAATTGGCCAATTGTAATCAAGGGCTAGATTTTGGTGGGGTGAAATGAAAGGAAGTAGTGGTCTGGGTGAAGAGCAGCTTGGAGGGAGGCAAGGAGTCGGTCCTTGACTCTGTTTCTAGGAGCTCTGTGTTCCATCCAGCTG